GACACCTTCTGGGGGACCTGAGTCCCCCACCTCGGCCCATCCTCTTATAAATTGGTGGTGGGGGTGCCGAGGCTTCCAGAAGCCTCAAAACCCATCCATCAGAGGCAGACACAGGAGGCAATGAAGAATGAAAGGGACAATTAACTGCTGATGGGGTGGCCCCAGCAGCAGCAGCCATCTGCTGGCGCTCAGTATGTGAAAAGCTCAGGGGCCGGTGGGGAAGACAGGGTCTGAAAGCTTAGCAAAACAAAAAAAAACAAAAAGCCCAACACGTTTTAAGCCAAATGAAGCATGAAAAAATACTCAACTTAAAATAAAGACTTAAAAATCACTGGCGGTTCTTTCTTTTGTAGAGAAGCCGTCTGGAAGGTCTGAACTGCTGAGAATGTGATTTGGATCCTACCTTAACTCTTTCCGGAGACTGTTTTCCAGACAAGCCCAGCTGTTCTCTGAGGAACCTAGTGGGATGTCAGGTCCCCTTCACTCCCAGCCTTCTCTACAACCCCAGGTCTCAGGCAACCCCCAAAATGGGGTACCGTACCCAGACGCCCCCTCAGCCAGCCTGGCCCCTTTCACTGGTCAGAGCTCTGACAAGTTCCCCCCTTTCCTCTCTTAAGTAATGTAAAGCCAAAGCGATGTAAAGTTAGGTGATGTAAAGCCAAACACTGATCCTACAGGTTTAGAATGCGGATTCTCCTCCCCTCCTCCGACCGCGGAAAGGGCCTGTCTCCTAAAGCAGAGGCTCTCCTCGCAGACAGAGCTTGAGCGGGGCTTGCTCCAGTGCCAATTCCCGGGCCCCACCTCACTCCATTCCGGGCCCATCAGCCTCGAATCTGCATTTTAACGAGCTCGCAAGGCAATCCTGCCACCGGAAGCCCCTGGGCTTCACTTTGATTGAGACTTCGTCTTTGGAAGGAAATGCTGCCACAGCCAGCACATGCTTGCTGGTCTCATTTACCCCGCTGCAGCCCTAAGTTGAAAGCAAGCAAAGCGCCCAGGCGCTGCAGGGGCTCTGGGGTCAGTGGGATGGATGGGGGTGCAGAGAAAGGAAGGCTGCTTATGAGATGGACCCAGGCCAGGAGGATTCCCAATTAACACAGCAAAACAGGCTGGAAGAAAGCACTGCAGTCCTTATAAAAATCTCTCTGAAAAATGTGTCAACCAGGGCTGAGTCATTTGTAGCCAAGAATTCTGTACGGGACACCAGAGCATGTACAACACGGATGACATGGCCCCAGGACAGCCAGACCAGACGCAGGCTTGGGAGCCATGAGCTGCAAGTGAATGAAAACGGATCCAATTCAGAATCAAATAAACATGCCTGGGCCCACAGCCAAGGAAACTTCTTGGATTGGACTTTTATCAGGGACCTAAATTTTAACCAGCTGGAACTTCTTCTTTTCCAAGTACCACCCTATTCCTTCCTACCTTTTGAGATGAAGTATTTGCCTTAAATGGGAAACTTGCACTTCATTGTAAAGACGATGCCAGCGTTCTGGCTTCCTGAATCCCTGAAGGAGCAGGCTGTCTGGGGGGTAGAAATTTGTTTCGGGGATAGAAGACCAGAGAAGATGTACCCCATTTGGGTTGGAAGGCAAGAAATGTTCCCTCGTCCTTCACTGCAGGAAAAGCCACGAAATAGAGACCTGCGGGAGCAGCTTCTTCATTCTTTGTTCCATAAAAAAGCCTCTCAAAACAACCAGCAGGACAACAGGGGAAAAACCCTGAGCACAGGCTACTGACAGGAACCTACCCACCACAAACAAACCATCCCACCATCAACACACCATCAACAAGCCAATGAGGATAGCGGTCCCTAGAGCAAGTTTTACAAACTGTTACTTCATTGGGAAAACTGTATTTATTACTCAGAGAGCAACTTTAGATGTTAAGGGCTCTAAGATTTTTTTTTTTAAATAGAGGAAGTGTGTCCACAGCTCATTTCTAAAACATTGAGCTGCGTTCAAGATGGTATCGGCCCCTTAACTGCCCCTCAAACAATGGGAGGTTGTGAAATCTGACCACTTAAACCAGGCCGGCTCCTCCGAGGGCAGCCCCGGAGGGGGTGCTAGCAGAGCAGCCGAGGGGTAGCCGGCTGCAGTCATCTGGCAAGTCCTGAGAAAACACACATTCCTGCAGGGGCAAGAGTTCCCGCAACAGATGTTCCCAGGAGATCAAGGGGGGTGATTCGTTCAGCTCGTCTGCAGCACTCACATCCTGCCCCTCCCTCAGGGCTCACCTCTCCGCCCTGCCGCCCACCTCCCCTCGCAGATCCTGGGTGACCTAGACCCACAGGAAGCCCTCTCCTGTTTGCATCGCATACAATCAGCCCTTGTTCATCTGTGTGCACAGAGACCCGTTAGACTGTAAGCAACCTCAGAACCGGGACCAACATCTATGGGCTGATACACCCACTATGTGGTAGGGGACTTGGGCATTAAACAAATACCCACATCACTGTGCACCAGTACTACTGGCCAGCGCTCCGACACAGCAAGCTCTGGAAAAACTTACCTAGGGAGATAGGGGCAGGCTTCCTGCAGGAGAGTTACTAGAGCTGAGAGGGGAGGCTGAGGTGGTAAGAGAAAGAAGGCAGGAAGGCACAGCATGTGCAAAATCCTGCAGCGGAGAGAACTCGGAAGCTTGGTTCTCTGATTCTCTCCACCCTTCTTAAAATCTATCATTTGATTGAGGATTTAGCTGAACGGCTGCAGGGTCTAGTTGGGATCAGCCACGATTTATAGGAAGCTAGGCCCTGAGGGCACCAAGATGAGGTTAAGTGCTTGGCTAAAGAAACTAGTCAGGCTGAAGACACAGATGTGAACAGATCCTGAAGATGCAGTTCGGTCAGCACCAAAGCGCAAGGACCTGCATGAGAAGGTGAAGCACTTGGGGCGGAATGGCGTTCGGGGAGGGCTTCTGAGCTGAGTCTTAGGTCAAGCAGGGCCTCTCAGGGAAGGCACCCCAGGAGCAGGGAATGTGTGGGACAGCATGAGGGCACTGGAGTTAGGGAGAAGGGTGGGAGGGGCTGAAACTGGAAAGATGGGTATGCGGACAGGTGCAGGTGGGTCAGGGAAAGCTGTGGCTCCAGCAGGTGCATGGTAGGCAAGTCCAAGAGGGAAAAGCCATGTACCAGGTTGCAAAGAGCCTAGCACCAGAGAGACGGCCCAGAGGCTTCCATGCTTACTCAAACAGGGAGTGGAAGATCCTGGGGAAGGACTAATGGGGCCAAAGTAGGTGCTGTTGAGAAGGTCACCCACAACGAGGAGCTGTGGTGGAAGAAAAGTCAGCAAGAGCAGAAGGCCACCTGGCCAGGGCTCACCACTAATTCTGTGGGGGTTCAGGTTCCGAGGAGGATAACACTGCTACGTGCAGACAGAACAAAACCCGCAGCTCGGCTCCTTTGGGACACCACCATGCCTGGCATGAGAACTTCACCATCTTAGTGCACTGAACATGAAGGCATGGAGCCAACTGCAGAAAGGCAGCAAATGGACCTGACCCACTGGTGCTGTCATACGAAAACCAGGAATAAAATGCCTGTGATGCTCTTGGAGTTATTCAGTTTAGATCCAAAAATTTAAGAGGACCAATAAATCAACATGAGATAGCCTTAAGAAATTTTTTTTTAAATCTAAAAACTGGACAAAACTTGGTACCTATAAAAAAAATTGATATTTTACTAAAATGGGACAGAGTGAGAAAATGTGCTGTTCACCACAAGTCAGATGGAGGAGTTGGTGGGAGGGTGGGTAACAGCTGTAGTGCAGCTCTTGGGTCTGAGGAGCTCGCAGCTGCCTGGCTCATACTTGGTTTTCTGCACTGTTTCTCTGAATATGGCCCAAGTGAGCTGAAGGTACCAGCCTGTGCCCCTAGAGGGGTGTCCACCAGGTCCTAGGCCTTGACTGCGCTGAGGCAGTTCAGAGGGCCCCAGAAAAGGTGGGGGTCGACGTTGGTCTAAGCGAACCACCATATCTCCACCCCTCAGAGCAAGTGCAGGGGAAACTAGGAAATCCCCATTTACTCCCATTTCCCAGGTGAAGAAACTGAGGCCCAGGAGTAGCACCACAGCCCTGTCGGTGGCTGCCGGAGAGCGAAGCCCGCATCCTCTCCACAAGGCCTGACAACAGGCCCGCCCTGGCCTCGGAGGGAGGTGGAAGCAGGTGGATGGTCTCCGGGTCAGGGGCGGCCCAAGCCCAGAACTCCAGGTGGGGACCCGGGACCTCAGTGCCCCACCACACGGCCCCCTGCCCCTGCCCCAGCCCCACTGCCCAGACAGAGTTAAAGCGCTCCAGGCACACGGCGAAAGTCTGTGCGCCTCTACCGTCTCGTCTCGGGCAACTGACGGAGGTGACAAACTCATGCCTCCCTTTGGCGGTGAAGAATACCAGCGACTCGGGCTCCGGCGGGGACGGAGGGAGGCGTACATCACCCGTGAGACCATTCGTGGGACGAAGGGCTGAACCGGGGAGCAAACTTTCCCATTAGTTAGGAGTCGAGGCTTGGGTGAAGGGTAACACGGCGCAGCCTATTAGGAACAAAGCGGCCCCGAAAGGGGGCGCGTCCCTCCCTGGCAGCCCCGGGCCTCTCAGAGGCGCGCACTGGAGGTCCAGCGGGCGACTCTTCACTCCCCTGCCAAAGCGCCCCGCGTTCGGACAGCTCGGAGCATCCCAGCCCCGGGGGGCGCAGCCCAGAGGCGGAGGAGGTCCCGGTCCGGGAACAAAGGGTGGGGCGCCCTGCTCCCGCCCGCCCTCCGAGCGGGACCCCGGCCGGCGGCCGCGCCTCATTAGCACCACAAAGCCGGAGGTCGGCGGCCCCTTTCTTCCAGGCCGGGGCCGGCGGACGCACGTTCCGGGAGGACGGGCGGGAGCAGCGGGGATCCCAGCCCGGCCGCTGACTCCCCGCAGAGCCCGCAGGCCGGCGCGGGCTCGGCTGCCCGCGGACACCTGTGCGCGCCGTGCCCCCCGAGCTTCTGGGGACGAAGAGGAGTTTCTCCTTACCCTCCAGCCGCAGGTGTCGGCGCCCCGCGCTCTGCTGGGGCCGCCAGCCGCCACCGCCAGCTGCGAGCCGTTGAGGCAGGCGTTGACTGTAAAGAAGACGGAGCAGAGCTGCAGCCACGGGGCCATGGCCGTGCGCTCGCCCTGCCCGGCCCTAGTCTGCACCCCAGCAGCCAGCCTCTGGCCAGCCCGGAGTGGGCGGTGGCGTGGGCGCCAGCGGCCGAGTGGGGCGCACCACCGAGCATGCGCCGCCAGTCCGCGCCCCGCCCCTTTACCCGGGGCCACGCCCCCAGCCTCCGCTCGCAGACTCAGGTCCCGCCCCTGCAGTCCTGTCCTCCTCAGCTCCGCCCCCTCCCTCTAGGCCACGCCCCCACGGGCCCGCCCCGCGTGAGTAGGCGGCTGCAGTTTTTACCTCGTCACCTGAAGTCTTCCAAGTGGTGCCTGCTCCCGGCAAACACTCGGGAAGCCAAATAACAATAATAGTCTCAATAATAATTTAATAAACACGTACTGTTTGCCAGGCCTCTCCTTGAATCCTCCCAACCATGCAGATGGCTCCAGTATTACTGTCATCCCATTTTTCAGTGCGTAAAAGTTAGGGTAAAGGAGGTAGTTGGAGAAATCCTGGCTTGGGACCTCGGACAAATGACTCGCTCCCACCACGTTCCTGTCCGTCCCCCTATAAATCCGAATAATGAAAGAAAGTATTCTAGTCTGGGGAGGATTCTACCGGTTAACACAAGGGCTCCGTAAACGCCACAATCTGTTATTAACTAACTTGCATAATAACCATGCAACCGGTCCCTGCCATATCTGAGACTGAAATCCAGATCTGACGAAAACTATACTCTTAACCACCACACCTGTCAAACTTACCCTTGTGAGTGTGGTATCACTAAAGGAGGAAGCTGAGGCTCGAAGAAGTGGAGTCGCCAAGGTCATGTGACTTTCACCACGAGCCTCTGCCTCCTCTGACTGGTATCTGTGCACCTGAATCCCCCCTCTCACCCTTCCCCATTGCCCCATCCCTCATCTGTGCCACCACTTCCTCCTCCTCCATAATTTCCTAAGAGCTTTTCCTAATTTCACTTTTGTCCCAAAATGCAATGTCTTTCTCCATCCTAGATCCAGAGCGATCTCCAAAACAGTAAATCAGACCACTGACTTCTCCTGATTTACCATCTTCTTGGGTGGCTTTTATTCAGTGGCCATTTAGAACAAACCCCATACTGGCCTCAGCCTCTCCCCCATTCTCTCTTCCCACCCTGCCTCCACTACCTGGCTCCAACCTGCGGGTCTCCCCACTCAGCCCCACCTGGTCTCGCCTCAGTGAGCCTCGTAGACTTCACCTCTGTCCGTCTGACCAGGAAGCCTCCTCTGCATGGCTCTCTCCTCCCAGGGCCAAGAATCACTTCCCTCTCCCTTTCTGCCCAGCCAAAGCGTGATGACCGCCCAGCTGCTGCGAACACTGGGATCCTGGACTTCCCCTCGCGGCTGCCCCACCTCTGTGGAGAAAGAAGACTCTTCACTATATTGTTAGCAGAAGTTCTAGGGATTGGCTCTGAAGAGGCCACTTTGGGAGCCAGGGAGCAGAACCAGCCCCCTCTGAACCACAGGGCCTGGAAGTGGGAGACCATGGTTGTCCAAAGGAAAAGTGGCATGTTGCCAGAGAAAGGAAGGATGGGCACTGGGCAGCCTCCACAGTCCCAAGTGCTGGGATTTCCTGCCCACGTGCCCACTGGACAGAAAGGTTTCATTTTTCGCCTCACTGCCAGGACCTGCAGGCCATGAGCAGATCCAGTGAGCGCAAGCACTACAACTTGTTTGATCACCCTGAAGAACCGGGGTCCACAGGAGGCTGCTTCAGAGGCAGCCTTCTCTGAATAAACCCCATGCAACTTGAACTGTTGGTTCAAAGCTCTGCTTCCTTCCAGACTCCCACCCACCTCCCTGGTACTCTTGACACTTCTCTCTGGCTCATTCTCAACCTCCAACGAGGGGATGGTAGGGGTTTGGCCGTGAATGTCAGGGCTGCCAGGCAGGACAGAGGTGACAGTCTCCGAGGAAACCACAAGCCCCCTGCTCCTCTGGCTCCTCGATCCAGATGACATTCCAGCCTTGAAAGGCTCCATGATTTAACCAACGGCCTCCTGAGAGACTTCTGGTATAATCAGGATTCAAAAATATCCTCACACATCTATCTTGATACATTCATTCAACTATTTTCTGAAGACACATTCCTAGAATCAGAACTGCTGGATTATGCACATTAAAGTAGTCAAACTGCTCACTATTGCATTGCAATCTTAATTGGCTTTTCCGGTTGCTAATGAGGTAGACTGAAAACCCTACAGCCTCTGAAAACCCTACAGAGTTCTGAGAAAGCGCCAACTTTTCTAAACAAGTACAGAGAACACAGGAACGAAAACACCTAGATGTCCACTTAAAACTAGTTAGAATGACATCCCTCCAGACCAGGACTGTGGCAGTCACAATCTCAGCCACCGCTCCCCATCCCCACCTGCCTCTGATGCCTACCGCCCTGCCTGGCACACATCAGTGGCCAAGACACTGTTGCCACCTTCATCACCATTTGGCATGAAGCTGGGGGTTTCAACAAATCCAATCTCTTTAAAATAAGATGTTGACAAAATGCAAATATATTCCCCCAATTTGCCTAGAACATAACCAGATAAGAAGAATCCTAAACACAAGGATTGGATTTTGTTAGGAGTCAAATTATCCCCTGGAACATAAGAAAGGATAAAGTGATCATGGAAATAATCTGTATCTCAAATCCTTTTTAGCCCTGAATAACTAAAGGCCATTTTAATGAACAGTGGTTAGAAAGTGAGCCGAAATTCTCATTTATTCCTGGTATTGTGATCAAGTGGTATTTTTATGTACTGTTCAAGACATTAAAGGTAAAGGGTGTCCCCCAAGTCTCCCAGGGCTTTGGGGAGGGCAGTATTCAAGCTGTCACCCTCCTGACCGTGCCAGCCTCTGCCCCCTTCTACGGCTGCCCCGATGCCAGTCCGCTCCGGACAGTCTTAGACCGAGCAGAGTAGTCATCGTCTCCACCTCACAGGGGACTGAGCCAGGGTAGGCCCCGGGCTCATCTGATACCCCCACTTTCCACCCGACTGCCTCTGGCAACCTTCCGAACAGGCAGGGACGACGCCCAGGCTGCCCAGAGGCCACGGGCGGGGGACGCGCGAAAAACCGGGGTCGGACGACTCAACCCGGCACCCTGAACTCCGGATGCGCACCCGTAAAGGCTGTGGCGGGGGTCGCACGGCGGCCACTACACGAGTTCCCGCTACATTTCTTTTCTGACAGAAAGGGGAGCGCAGGACGCTTAGTCCCTAAGGCGGCCGCAAGGCGGCGCGCGTGGTCCAGGCAGGGGACCCCCAAACGGCCCTGGAGGCGCCGCCGCCAGGGCGCACGGTTCTAAAGCAAAGCCCCAGAGCAGGTGCGAATACTCGCTGTTATCCGGAGCTGGTGCTAGGTTTGGGGGAAGTAGGGTCAGGGAGGAGTTCAATATGGGCTTCCAGGAGCCGTGTGGCTTTGACCAATTCCCGTAACTTCTCTGGATGACAGTTTTCTCAGTGGCCTCACAGGAATGAGGTGGATACAGACCTCTGTGGGTTTTGGCGAATCTGAAGCAAGCAAATAGCTGTGAGGGTGCGTGAACATTGCTGTTGCAAGCGGGTAGACCACTAATGCAGGCCCAGTGGCAGCTGGAACCCAGACGGTAGCTGGGGGAGGTGGCCACCTCTGCCTCCTTGGGATATGGGGGTTTTTCCAAAACACAACCCTGTCCTTGCTCTCACCCTGGTCTGGATGTGCGCTAGACTGCAAGGCTACAGCCCATATCCTGTTTACCATTATTCATTCATTCCTTCAACAAGTACTCATGGAGTCCCTGCACCATATCAGGCATTATGCCAGGAGCAGGGGACCAGAATGAACACAGACACTGTCCACAAGACACTGTACCAGCTGCCACAGAACCTAAAAGCAAGCATTCCATGGGGGACACTGGCATTGCTCAACCACATGACTAGGGGATGTCTCTAGAAAAGTGGTGTCTGAGGCGAGGTTCCAAGTCCAAGAGTTCAGTGGAGTGAAGTGCAAAGAGAAGAGTGTTCTGGGCAGAGGGAACAGCACATGCAAAGGCCCTGGGCAGTTGGGAACAGCATCTTCAAGGAACCAAAAGAGGCCACGTGGTTGGATAGCAGACAGGTGTGGAACTGTGGTGCCAGGTGAGCTGGAGAGGCCTGCAGGGGTGGGGCAGGCAGGACTCTGTGCGCTGGTTGAACCTAAGCATACCCAGGAGCTTCTAAGGGGTGTGAGAGCAGGGGCAGGGTTATTTTGGAAAAGCCCCCATATCCCAAGTGCCAAGCCCTGGGTACTGCCCAACATGTAGTCAACGTTTGATACATACTTGTTGAATGAATGAATAACCAGGGTCATCGCTGAAATTTTGGGATTTAATATCTTGAATGCAAAAATCATTAAAAAGCTCGGAAATACACTCAACCCTGCTAAAGCTCAAAAAAATGCAAATAAAGTAAAATGCACAAACTTTTCTTGTTGTCTTAAGGTTATTTCTACTGTGAATCCCTTTATAAATTTTTTAACAGACTATTTTTAGAACAATTTTAGATTTACAGAAAAATTGAGAAGATAGTGTAGAGAGTTCCCATACACTTTGTCCCTAGTTTCCTTTATTATTAACATAATATATTAGTGTAGTACATTTGTTCCAATTAATGAACTAATAGTAATAAGTTACCATTAACTGAAGTCCAAGCTTTAGTCAGAGTTCCTCGGTTTTTCCCTCCCACCCTTTTTCTGTTCCAGCATCCTAGCCAGGAGGCCACACGACATTAGTTGCCACGTCTCAGGGTCCTCTTGACTGCGATAGCTTATCAGACTTCCCTTGTATTTGATGGCCTGCACAGTTTTAAAGAGCATTGGTTAGGCATTTTGTAGGGTGCCCCACTATTGGGATCTGTCTATCATTAGATGAGATATTATTGGTTTCTACTCAAACCAAAGTTATACATGCACATGCACAAAGTTCAAAGTTTTAAAAGTCTTATTAGTACTAATAGATGAAAAAAAAGAGCAGTCCTCTGACCTGTTCCTTGCCACTCACACTCACTCCCCAGAGCAACCTCCTTCGATGCTTTTAGCTCTTTTCTGC